AGTAAGGTAAAGGTGAACAGTGTACGAGACACTCAGAAGCAGAAGATTGAGAACATTCCATATTTGGGATAGAAGGTTAGAAGCGCGGGGATTCAATATCCAGGAATGATAGCAGCAGCGTCAGTAGCATACCTTCCAGCCTATGGTCTAGGTACCGAAAAGCCTGATTATGAGAGTAAAGAATAGTTAGAGACGATGTGGTGTCTCGCTTGATGTTCTAGAATAACATAAGGAAATCAAGGGTGCAAGCAAGTTGAAGAAAGGTTGTGAATAGTATAAATAGATACGTAGAGGTCGCAAGCTAAAGTATGGTAAAGCGACAAGGTTTTAGGAAGACAGGAGTAAGGATAAGAAAGGGCAAGTGAGAAGGTGACGAGAATGGATAAGTCCTCAGGATTAAGCCCACGAAAACAAGAAGAGCTGATGGTTTTTCTAAGTTATACAAAGCTCAGTATAGCCTAAAGGAACTCAAATGAATCTAAGACTAATGGCATTTAGAAGAGATGGAATGCTACTCTGATAGTAGAATGAAGGTGTAATTGGATAGAGGAAGGATGACGTTTGGGCCTTTGATTGAGTAATGATTTCATGAATTGCACAGGATTAAAATACCCACGTAAGGTAAATCACACTGGGATGCTATGAACTACGATTATGGAAGTATAGCATCGTATCACCCCCAGGTGGATCAAGACAATCACTTCAAATGTTCCACGATGAGACGTGAGCCCTAGCGGCAGTGTTACGTAAGAGATCAAGTTATCACTAATAGATGATACATCTATATTAAGGCGAATCGACAATGGATGGACAGAAGTCACAAAGAATGAGGTGAGATTAGGCCGTCATTATTAAGATGAACAGTAAGGAAAAGGCATTAAAGGATATAGATTTATACATATAGAATAAGCAACGAGAGTAACCTGGAGTTGGTTGCAGACCACAGTAACGATAAATCGAAATATGAGTTATGGTATAGTATGACCTACCTAGATGCAGTAAAGTCATACGAATGAATAAACGGGTCTATGAAATAAGGTATAACAATATTCGTAAGTTCAACAAAGTATCGGGCGAAGAACTTCAGTATGCCTATAGATGCCCAGAGGGAAATCTTATTAAGCTCTGTATATGTTCACAAGTAAGGCCTAGAAATTGGCTAAAAGTTGGAGGAAAAAGGAGAGAAGAGACGCATAAGCGCACTTACAAGGTCAGAGTCGTACAAGCTGCATGATAGAAGGTAGCAACAGTTACGATACTGGAAGGGTTCCGACCATAAGTCGTGGTGTGAGAAAGAGGCCTAAAGGGGGGAATGCCTGGACTTTGGATTTAATCATAGAACAGTTGCTTAGATGGCAAGGAGAGTAATAAAGTATTCAGAAGAGATAGGCTATGAAAATGATAAGAGCACCAGTCAACATTCGAGGACGAATGTTCCAAAGGGGGGAATGATGTTACATCCCGCATTTTTCCTACGTGAAAATTTCGTCTTCAGTTAATTTACGTAGACTTAGGGATGAGATTATCTGGAGGTTAGCATATTTATGCTATTTATAACAAGCAATAACTAAGTGCCATGAAGGAAAGGGTACACAAATTAAAGAAAATGAGTTTCGTTGAAGGTTGTCGATTTGGGATAAAATACGGGCCGAGCGTTAATACCCGATAATTATAAACTAGTACCATGAGAGGTACCATATGACCACGGCAGTATAATATATAAAGTATATATGAAGTAGTTTAAAAATAAATAGAATTTTAAGTAATTTGTGATAATTTTCAAATTATGCGGGTAATTGATTAATTACCGGGTAACAGGACATTACCCAGTTAAATAATAAGTGGATAAAAAAATTATTAAACTAACCCTCCCCCCCCCCCCCCCCAACGTGGCAAGAAGCCACAAAGATTAGAAGTGACTAAGTAGTCACTTTGCCAAATGGCTAATATATGATAACCAAGTCATACTTAAGACTTGATAGGATTTATAAATCTTATCTATAACATTTAATAGGAAGCCTTGTAAAGACTTCAAAAGAACCACAATCTACCTTTGGCATTTAAAAGCCAAGGACGTTGAAAGCAGAAATATTTCTTTTCAACAACCCAAGCTTCATTCGAAGCAATTCTGTCCAAACAATTCAACCCTTTAGACAAACAAATTTTGATAGAAATTTCAAAAAAAAAACCACCACAATTTCGTCCAATTTCAAGGGAATCAATCAGAATTTCGTTCATATTTCCCGAAAGCAGAAGCTTCTTTCCGTTCAAATAATTCCAGGAACAGGTATGTTAAGGCTAAGCTCTTCCTTCATTTTAGCATGATCTCGTAATTACACAAGTTTGATAACGAGGCATAAAGAAAAATTCATATCCCGAAATTTGCGTAAATTTTGCTAGTCTCGCAAATTACATATATTTTCCTAGTTTTGTAAGTTATCGTATTCTTCTTATCGGGACCGCATATTCAGTTGAGTATTTTCTTCTTCCGGGCAAGAGAGCAGAGAGTTTACATATGTACAGTATTAAAAGTATTTTCATTACCATCGAGCTATAATCGATGGACAGGCCCCTATTGGGCAACCTCCGATCAGAAGGTAAGTTATATAACGAGCCTACTGTGGCCGAGCGCATATGAGCGAGCCCAGTTGGTCGAGATACAGAGCCTAGTATGGCCCAGCGCATATGAGCGAGCCTACTACGGCAGAGCAGTTATATATATATATATATATATATATATATATATATATATATATAATATTTATATATATATATATATATATATATATATATATATATATATATATATATATACCGAGCCTTATAGGGCCGGACAGCTATTTTACTTACTATATTGAGAGAGTTGAGTCAGTATCAGCAGGTAAGCATATCTTCAGATCATCTTTGACTTCCAATTACTTTCAGTTATTATATTATCAGTTCAGGTTCAGCTTTCAGTATATTGCCTTACATACTCGGTACTTATTTCGTACTGACGTCCCTTTTCTGGGGGCACTGCATTTCATGCGTGCAGGTTCAAACAGACAGACGGGTAGACCTCCTCATTAGGTGTTGCCCGAGTTCAGCTTGATCGGTAAGCTCCATACCCTTCGGAGTTGCCGGGTTTAGAGCTTTATGCATATCTTGTATATATATGTATATATATATATGATATGAGTAGACTGTGTCCCTGTTCCGATCATAGTATATCCATCAGTAGAGACTTGTAGACATATCCTGTCAGTTAGTGCAGTATGTTGGGCTTGTAGGCCTTTTATGTATATTTTGTTGGTTTGCCAGCTGTAGTAGTTATGACGGCCTTGTCGACCCAGCATTATATTGATGTTTAGTCAGTATTTGCAATTGTGTGGCAATGTGGCCCATGGCCAAAGTGTGACATTATATGTTCAGAATCCCTTAGTCGCAAGTTGGTACGCAAGGATAGATGAGGCACCGGGTGCCAGTCTCGCCCCCAGGTTCGGGGCGTGACAATTCTTATCACACAGAACACCGGATGCGAGCCTCCATTTCGTCCACCCGCTCCAATAGGATGTGCGACATCTTCGTCAATCTCCCAAACTTTTGTTTTATTGACCCAAGGTACTTGAAACTTCCTCTCTTAAGGATGATTTGTGTGTAAAACCTCATGTCCACATCTGTGTCATGATCCATGTCACTGACTTACATTCTAAGCATTATGTCTTGATCATGTTTAACTTAAAACCAATAGACTCCAGGGTCTGTCTCCAAACCTCCAACCTAGCTTTGACGCCACTGGCATCTCGTCAATTAGTACAATGGCATCTTCAAGTAACATGCAATATGGTACCTCCACTTGAATGTGATGCGTCAGGACATCCATTGCCAAGGCAAATAAGAATAGACCAAGAGCTAAACCCTGGTGCAACCCCATCACAATTGGAAAGTATTTTGAGTCTCTCCTCATTATCCTCACCCGAGTCTTAGATTCATCATACATATCCTTGATCATCCTAATGTAAGCTATAGAAACACCCTTAGCCTCCAAATATCTATATAGGACCTCCCTTGAGACTTTGTCATAGGCTTTTTCTAGGTCAATAAACACCATATGCAAGTCCCTCTTTCTCCCTCCATACTGCTCCACCACTCTCCTGACAAGGTGCATGACTTTCGTAGTCGAACGCCCCAATATGAATCCGAAGTAGTTCTCGAAAATAGACGTACTCCTTCTCACCCTCGCTTTGACCACTCTCTCCCAACTTTTATAGTGTGGCTTAGCAGCTTGATACCTCTACAATTGTTGCAATTTTGGATATCACCCTTGTTCTTGTACAACGGGTTCATCGTACTCCACCTCCATTCCTCGGGCATCTTCTTCGACTTAAAAATGATATTAAACAACCTAGTGAGCCACTCCAAGCATGCCCTGCCCGCGTATTTCTAAAATTTCACCGGAATTTAGTCTGATGGCTCTTCCCTTGCTCATTTTACAAATAGCCCCCTCGATCTCCACAACTTTAATACATCTACAATACCCCAAATCTCGAGGACTCTTGGAGTGCTCCAAATTACCCAGCATAGTGTTCCTATCCCCTACTACATTCCAAAGTTAAATACTGTACCATATAAGAATGGTTCTCCATTTTTGACATACAAGTATTCACGCTGTTTTATCTCGCCTCTCGACCATCTCAGTCCATAAGCAAAGGGAACAGAATCTTTTGTAAACAAAAGCTTGGCGTCGTGATCAAAACATGCAATTGAAAGTCATTTTTCTTCTGTAGTTGGATATGGTGGATCTTCGTTTACAATGATAGTGGACCTGAAGATCAATAAATCATTGGAATACGTTTTGACGACCCATTCCAGAACAGATCTTAGTAAGGTGCGAGGGCACTAGGTGGAAAGAAAAATGGGTACAATAACAAATTGTACTTGGTACTATATATACATGCATGCACATATACTCATAAACATGCTCTAAAATCACCCGAAGTATCATGCTATAATACCTAATAACCTCTAAAATTTACCAAGGATCTTATTACGACAATTCGTGTTTACTTAGAAGGAAAAAGTATAAGCTCGGATAAGAGGAAAATCCGTCTTTCGAAGAACAAAAGGCTTTATAAATAAAATTCTTTCTAAAAGTCAACTCTGACTACCTTTACAGTTAACTAACTGAATAATGACAATAGTACTTCTTTTCTGGGGCACAGAATAAAACAAAAGACAAATAAACAAGCTAATGTACAAAAATCCTTCAAAATTCAAGATAAAATACTCCGCTGGTCCCATGAACTCATCTGTCGATACCTAATTGAGGCACTAGCATTTTGAACGCCCTAGCACCCTTAAACCCCCTTTGTCTTTTCTTCGTCTCTATGTTTGAAGACCCTTCGATGATGAATTTCACCCCTCATTCGCTGGAAGAACAAAAAGTTTTACGTACTGCAAGAGATGAAGCAACAAAAGAGTTGGATCGTCAGGTTATAACTGGTAGAAATTCCTCCAATTGAAGGACAAAACTCAAATTAAAGAGACAGTATTAAAACATTTAAGTGGAAAATTAGAGAGCATGCTCTTCCAAGGACTGCATGAGAAAGCTTCAACCTCTATTCACCTGAAAACTCGTAGAGTCCTTTAGAGTGCACAGGATTTTTATTGATTTTGGACGCTAGTATCTTGAGCCGATGCATCATTTGTGAAAGCCAATTCCGAAACCAAGGCAATATGATCACTTCCCCACTTCTGGATAATAGGAAAGCAGAAAAAGAAAAAAGAAACTGTTTAGTACATGGCTAAAAGACAAGTCGTTAAATAGAACTGCATATAGAAAAATGTAAGAGCCAAAACAGAATGAGCAAATTCGACTGCCTTGTAATAGAGTAATAAACTTTGTCCACTTCACGTCTATCTATTAATGTAATGTGTGTATGCATATCCAGCCCAATAAAAGAGGACAAGGCATTTGCAGATCTCAACCATACTAACTGAAACTACTGGGAATCCATATCCTTAAAAGATCCATGTCTACCATGAACTGCATGGTTCATAGCCAACTTAACTGATTCCAATATGACTTTTTCTCATCAAACCTTTGAGTCATAAGCCATGTGTACATGCTTGCCAACAAGAGCTGCATAAACAGCTTTAATAAGATCATGTGTTTCATTCCCACTCTAAATCACATACTAAATCCCATAGCTATCACTGTAAACAAGGTTGGCACTTTAACACAGAAATGTTTGGTAAATAGATTATGCATGTTTTTCAATTGCATTGTTGATTGCCTTTTGATAGATCGTACGTTTTTCAAACACATACCGGAGAAAGAAAAAAAAAACAACGATTATTAGAAGATTGAAAAATGACAGCTTTTGCAAAATTAAGTGTGTTCAGAAAATACTTACCATTGCAATAATTTCACTTCTTATATTACTATGCACTACTCGACAAATTAGAAACGAGAAATAAAAGTCCTATCTATAATACTTCAAGGAGGTGAATAAAGCTTTTACTGGCTGGTAAGATTCTTCTCATGCTTTAAGTGATCACAGTCAGCCTTAAGAAATCCCCACTTGTCTTTCAAAAGGACAAATACCAGCCAATTAATGTGAATTTCTTCAAAGGTTTATGTGCATAACTTAAATGATGCTTCTATAGGCTCTGTCCTTGTCATTAGAATGTTTAAAGCTTGTTTGGTTTTTCGTATAAGGAAAATAAATCCGATACAGGAGTAACTAATAACATTTGGTTTTCGACTTAAAACTCTGCATTACTAAAGTGAATCCCAACAAATACAACATTTGGTTTCTGAAATAAACTTCTCCATTGCTAATACTAGCAAACCTATGCGGGAATACATAAATTACTTTTCACAGGATAGCTGCAAAATAAGACTACTTGTATCAGCAATCTGGATAAGAGCACCTAGACAAAATATCCTCAAAGCTAATTCTTGACATTGACATTGCAATCCTTGCACAAGTCATAACAAGTCAGTATTATTTAACTTCATATTGTTTAGCACATACATTATTATTTAAATTCACTATAACATTATTATTTACACATGTATCATAATCCTTGCATAACTAGTCCGTCATCCAAACGACGGGGTCATTTGGTATGATGTATAAGGAAAATAATCTTGGTATATAATTTAGTATAGTTTTATCCACTGTTTGGTTTAGATTTTGAATCATGTATAACTAATCCTTGTATAACTTAATACACCAATTGGTGTATTATCTTATACCACCAACAACATAGAATGACTAATCCATGTATAACTTATACATGGATAAAGAACAAAAAGGACAAAATTATCCTTATCTTTTTCCTAGAAGCTAATGAAGGTCAAGCATCCAAGGGTATAACTGTAAACTCATTGCTTTTTAGTTTAGAAAATAAATAAATATTTTAAATGATATCTTGATATCCAATTTTAGTAAAATGTACTAAACACCCAATAAGAGATAATTCATGCATTACTGATCCCTGCATTATAATCCTTGTATAACTTATCTTCGTGACAAATGGCCCCTAAGTGTCAATTTAGAATGTTAACTTATGCCAGCTGTCGTCCCAGATGATCTAAATTATGTTTGGCACTTACAAATAGATATATTTCGTTAAACAATCACATCTCTTATGTTAGATATTGTCCCACGTTATATGTGTTAGGTTTGACACTTATAAATAGATATGTCTTGCATCTATTAAATTATCGAGTTATTACTACGTCTCTTGCTTTCACCTCTTTTTTCAAATAATAATGGTGTTCAGGCCAGCTAGCTTACATCTTGACTATTAAATCGGGTACCTAAACCCGACCACCAATACAAATATCGTATAACTTTCCTTCCTGAGGTGAGATAGATGTAACGAAATAAGAAGTTCATGCCTCGGCTGGAATTACCCTGGTTTCCCATCCTTTTCTTTCCAACTTCATTGAACACTAGACTATACTCTCCGGCTCTTTTCCTCCTATTCACATGGTATTGAAGCATCTATGATCACGATAAAGATCTAGATATCTTCCGCGTATCGGAGAACACCGGTCAAATTTTTCTCTTTTCCAAGTTCTACAGTTCTTGTCTCTATCCGAGGGCACCGAGAGAGTGCACGATATTTATAGTTATAAATACTAGTTTCCTTAATCAATAAATGAACCACAGTAAGGATATACGACTGTATGAATCAACTAGAGAGTGTGTCAAATAAATATGTATAATCATGTAGGTGTAAATAATTAGACTTAACGTAATATAGTATGTGACCACATCAGAAAAGGAAGAAGAAACGATTCTGTCCATTGTAAAGCGTGGCTATAAAAGGATTCAGGTTTAAGACATTTCTAATCAAATTCTTTTAATTCTTTTTAATGTTTCTTCTATTTCTCACAACCTCAAGGGATTTTCTCCAGCTATTTATCCATCTTCAAATTCAAAACTATTTCCAAATCAAATATGTATATTACCTCTTGATCAAAATAGAATTCACCTTGCTGAGAAACTTCAAAGTTTACCTGAGGTGTTCATTGGCAAAGAAGCCTAGCCCTACTTTAAATGCAAAGCTTATAGTTAGCTTGATTTACATTTCTTGTGGCAGTACCAGTATACCACTAGCTTAAGTTACTCTTGTAATTTCATCAGTAATAATTGGTATTGTTAAACTCTAATGGCAAACCCTTGGTATTAGAATGGTGAAATAAGAATATTTAGAGTGATATCTTTTTAAGTTAGACATTGTCACATTGGACAAAAATCTTGTATGTGTTTGACACCTATAAATAAGTGTTAAGTACTCATACTATCAAACCATCAATACATCTCTCTATTCTCGTATTTTCACACTAGTTGCCTCAACAGTCTCATGAAACTTCATTCAGACGGATTTATTTGACAAAGCGCATCCAGCTTGACCTGGAAACCGTAACTGAGCTTCTCTTAAGTATGACAGTAAGTTGATGCTGATGCGAAATTATTTATTTTCAAGGATTAAATCTGTAGTAAATGTGTCAAAAAAGTAGCTTAGAGGCTGTTCATAAGGCAGCAGGTGCTTAAGTGATTTAGTATTTCAGGACGATTTGTTGTATTTCAACCCTGTTGCTAATTAAAATCCAAATTGGTATTCATAGCACTAACAAATTTTGAAGACCACTATATGAAAGGAGATCATACTGCTATCCACCATGCATAACCAAAGTTCTGTGCAGCAAGGATGAATCTGAACTGTTGTTCTATGAAGAAACTATTGGTACTTTCTTTTACCAACATACCTTAGTAGGGAAACCTCTCACAAATTGCATGGCGTTTTTCGGAATGGGAGCAAGCACCCTCACAGTTTGAAGACCTTCAGAACGCCTGAGTGTAATTTGAACAATTAGTTTGCCATGTTATTCTTGAGTTCTAACTGATGGAATACCAAAAGCATCAACCACAGAGATGCATATGCATCTAACATATATAAAACAACACATCGAGGTCATATTCTAAAGGAATCCTAATATCAGGAGCATTTCAAATTTGTCATGAACAACTATGGCAATATTACAAATTAATCTGGGATCTTATCTTTGTTCCTCAATGATGGAATTAAACAAAAGGCAGCAGAAGCTAGGGGAATATTTAAAGATACTCACCATATATAATCAACTGTACCCATGAAAAGCCTGTGATAGCTGGTCACCTCAGGTTCTCCTGTTGAATCTCTTGTTCCAGAAAAATCCTGAAACTACGAAGATGTGAGTTGCAGTTATAAAAAATGAGCAAGTATTAAGCCAGATTACCAGCCAAGAGAAGAATATATCATACACATTTACCATAAGATATGGAATAGCACATTGAGAATACAAGCTTAGTCTAATAAGAGCTACCTCTACTTCCCTATATGAACTTGACAACTTCAGATTATGTTCCATTATTGTGCAATTCGTATTGCCTGTAGCAGTTTCTAAATCCATTGGAGTCCAAGCTGACGGATCATAAGTAGATTTCTCCATGTCAACAACCTCAGAATCCAAATCAGGAACATCATCTGCTATCTCGTCTCCTAGCGGACGCAACTCTAAGGAACCGTAACACTTCTTGAAGGAATCATTCAATTCCTCAAGAGCAGTTTTTTGAAATTGGTTAGAGTGAGATGGAAAGGAATCATCTTCACCATTTAACTGAGACAAAAATGTTTCACGATCGTGGCCTAAAAGTTCATCTTCTTTTGTGCCTCCAGAGACCTCATTAAGTGACAAGCTGTCCATCTTTTCGTCCAATAAAACATCAAAACATGTCTCTGCGTGTGAGGTTTTATGTTCATGTGATGTTTTAGTGCAACTCTCTTTACCAATTGATGATACACTTTCAGAGGTTTCCAGAGGAGAAACTTCATGTACATTTGAAGAATCAGAAAATAGCCCCAACGATGACACATCTGAACAATGGGCTATTGTAGGTCCGTGAACACTCATCACATTTTCAGAACCAAAATCATCTACTTTGGACTGTCCATCCTTCTGTCTATATGAATCGGTTCCGGAACACACTTCTGCTTCAAAAAATTTGTGAGAAGAGCACGATGTCGCATTAGGGTTGGCATCTTTGCATCTACCCTGAGTGTCTTTATCATATTCATCTTCTTGACAAGATTCTAGCAAACTTACTTCATGACTCGTACCTTCAACTGGAAACAATGAACCTTCACCACGAGAACTACTTGGATCTTCTCTAAAGACACCAACAGAAACATTACCATGAGTTTCTCTAGGTAACTCATTCGTACCCTCGGAGCATGGGTTAACCATACAAGAACTGCCGGACTCATATACCACAGAACTCTGAGGCTGAGACAAGATACATACAGAAGATCCACTTGCTGAATGTTTTTCTGGAGAATCGAGCTTTTGTTCATCTAATGTCATCTTACTGTCTTTTACATCTCTCTCAGCAGCCAGTGCAGAGCTTTGAGCAGAGTCAACAGCATCCTGGTGTCTGTGGTATCAAAAGAGAATTCCAGTTTTAGAAACATCAAGGCTGAATCCTGAAAGCGATAAAGGGTGTAAAGTAAATATGATTTCAGAGTCTTTCAGATTCACTGAATAGAAATGAGATCCTTAATATGAAAATTAGAAATCCCCAGTCCTTTTTTAAAAGACTAGTGCGTCAAGCTCAGCATGAATATGTGACTAACAAATTCAAAGAAAGGATAGGTGGACAACCCCTAATGACCTTCAAAGACTCTCCTACATGAAAGGAGAGTCCATCCAAATGATATTAAGCAAAATGCATTTTTATTATCTTTTCCAAAATTATACTCAGAAACAATGTGCACCATATTTGGTAAGTTATTTCTTATTAATAGACAAGATTAGAGATTATCAGATCAGACAGAATGCAAGTAAAAGACGTAGAGGGTAAAACGAAAGAAGGTCACTTGAGATAGTTTAGCATGTTCTACATAAATCTCCAAATAGACTGGTCGATATGTGCAAGTACAATGATCTTTAAGGTGCTAAACGGCGAAGAGGTACGCCTAAAATCACATGGAGCTAAGTTGTCCTAAAAGACCTACAAACACTCTAATCAAGACGGACATAGCTAAGACTATGAAAACAAAGGATCCATATTAGCAATACCACCTAATAGGATTAAGGCCTAGTTGTTGTTTGTCGTTACACTTGCATCAACTGTAGTGTTTGTCAACAGTCTTTCTAGTTTGATTAGGAACTATGTCAGTGTAGGGATGAGAGTGAATTTTAAAGAACCTCTAGTTTTTAAAAGTTCAAATTTACCTTCAAAGATATATTACATAGATGTATTGGAATGAAATGGACCCAAATAGAGCAGAATGACATATAGGCTTCATATAGTCCCCACACCCCCCCCCCCCCCCAAAAAAAAAAAAAAACTAGCTTGGAAATGGGATATTATAAGATTATACATAAGCTGGTACAAGGAAATATGAGGCAAGGGTCAAGTCTCCATGAAATCACCAGATAATTATTTAATTGAGGTAAGAAGTCCATACCTAGCACTAGGATTGAGGCTGCTACGTTTCACTGTATTAATTGTAGCAGACTCCTGTCCTGACACTTTATCTCGAGGCACTTCTGATAAGTCTAGCTGCAGGAACAAAGTACCCCAAATGCATCCCGTAGCAAAGAATCATCATTTCCCCAGAGAAGGCACAGAAGAAAAAGGGGGTCGGGAACAGCAGCAAGAAACAAAACATTGTATGAAGCTTACCCTTTCCTCGACAATATAGTTGTACAATGGACTCTGGTAAAGGGAAAAAAGAATAAGGAATTAAAGCAGGATTCTGTAAAGAGGAAAAAGACAAGAAGAATTATTTCACTACAACATAAAATTCAGTACGAACCACAGAAAGTAAGAGGAGAAAATATGCATTAATGAGAAACATGTCATAAGTGTTTCACTGGGAATCAATGAACCCACCTTTGGTGTACTGTTAAAATCTCCACAGATCACAACAGGAGCATTGTCCCAAAGTTTTGAAACACCATCAGCCTTATCCAGAAGCACCCTAACCTGGTTGCAGCAAAATTTACTTACACTAAACGAAATACTGAATCCAATCAAGTGGACTCTTCGTTGTGGCTAAAAATGCTAAACTTAAAACAGGTGCATTAATCATGAAATGAAACCAAACCAACTTTATGAGGAGTAGACAAGCAAGACAGTTCTGCCAAGTATTCTATCTTAAAGGAGATACAAACCAACTTTATGAGGAATAGACAAGCAAGGCAGTTGCCAAGTATGCTATCTTAGAAGTGGATAACAATGTATGAGTATCACCATACACATTTAGCAGAAAGAGGGACCCATTCCTATAGCAACTGTTTAAATGCTGTGTTTGGACACATATACTTTTGAGGTTGCTGTTGTTTTTTAGCAGAATTTGGAGATATTTACAAAAATAACTCCTTCCTGACGCTTTTTAAGTAAGGAAGGGATTAAGTAAACAGTTTAGGTGCAGTGCTGATGCTTCTTGATAAACATCTGCTTCTTCCAAAGATAAAAACCATCTGAGGAAAATAGGTCATCATATCAGAACAGTGAAATCCTTCCAGATATATTTTCCCATCAAGTTTGGGGGATATAGCTACTTCCTTGCCTTTCTAATGTAAAGCAGTAGGTTTATCTCATAGTTGGATTAACTGGTTTCCCGAGATTGGAGCTGTTTAATGTTTTGTTTCTTCATGAAATATTAACTTTTCCAACATTCAGATTTAGAAAACTATATTTTCTGAAAGAATAGGGAAAAAACAAAAACAAAAACAACAAAGCCAAACAGGGATGCCCTCATGTCCTTGTATTAAAAATGATGAGGAAGAAAAGTTAATAGACAGCTATTTAGAGACATCATAATTCAAAATACACTTCAGATGATCTTCATGTTTACCCTTGCCATACCACTATGGAGGGAACAGCATGCCAATTGTAACGATAGGACGCTATAAATTACGGATAGGACGCTATAAATTACGGATAGTAGATAATAAAAGAGAATAACGATACAACATAAGGAGCAAAGAAAGAACAGCACCCTTGGACTTTTATTTTCTAAATTCATGTCCATTTATTCTATTAAATACTTCCGATAAACATAGAGCTTGTATTCACTTAATCACAGAAATATGATGAATACTAAGTTCTCTATAAATAATACAATTTTAGTAACAAGCCATGACAAGAAGCAAATATGCAGACATGACAGACTACAATCTAGCAGGTCTCTATCGTGTGAAGCGGAGCAACATATGACTAGATAACTGCCAAGCATAGGATACAAAAGTACATGATAACTGACTTACAGATAAATTCATGCACACAATGATGCGTGAAAAGACAGTATCTATTGACAATAAGTACCTGTCCAAGCTTAATCTCTCCCCTTCTAGGATTGAAAAGCACATGAGTATTACAAATTACAACCTTATTGGAGTGACCAGGTCTGCAAGTGTAAAATACACTAACTCAGCAGGTAAAGAATAAGGACAAGAAACTTGAATAAGCTCATGCTACGAACTCAAGAAAAAATGTTCCAAACAGCATCCACATTTGTAAAAACATGAGCAAGAATGAGTATCCAACACAAAAATCAACTGCTATCATTGGCCAATCTATGTGGATAAATCTCGTTGAACAGGGACTTGAAAAACGAATATGAGAATATCTAAACCAGCATATCTAGCAATTATCAATGCAAAAAATATTGGAATAGCACAGTTGTCAATGATATAACAATATTTAGAACAAACACTAAAATATGAGCGACCCATAAAAACCCATGACTGAGATTCAGACTTCCTGCATAGCCATCTTTACACTCGGAGACTATGGTTAGGCACTTGTCTTTCCTTACACAAAGTGGAATTATGTAAAGGAGCATTTCATATGAGAACTGTGCATGTGAGAGAGAGAGAGAAAGAGAGAGGGACGCTTCTTGAATGCTGCTGCAAAGAAAGAGGATTGGGATAGGCAATCCTAAAACTCATTTATCCCTTTCTCGTCTTGTTCGGATACTACAAGATACCCAATGAAAACCCACAAGTGGGGTCTAGGAGGATAGTGTGTAGATAGATCCTCGGCTCAAGTAAAGCATAATCCCGGCATTCATGAAAAAGAGATACATTAGTGGGGAAGCCATGGAAAAAGAAGCAGCAACAATAGCATGAAAACAAGATAACCTAACAAAAAACAACAGGTAGTAATAGAAATAAAAGAATAAGAAATTACAGAAGTAACACTAATACTACTAGATGGAGAAGAAACGCGCGCGATTACCTACTACCTTAATCCTTGACCTCCACACACTCTTAGCAAGGGTCATGTCCTCATTAAGCTGCAGATGTACCATATCCTGTCTAATCATTTCTCACCAATTCGCCTACCTCTGCCTCTCCTTAGTAGCACCATTGCCACCCGCTCACACCCCCTCACTGAGGCATTTGTGCATCTCCTCTTGACGTGTTCGAACTACTCAACCTCGCTTCCCGCATTTTGTCCAAAACAGACGTCGCTCCCACCTTATCCCAAATATCTTCATTTCTAATCATATCCCTCCTAGTATGCCCACACATCCATCCCAGCATCCTCATCCGCCACTTTCATTTTCTGGACATGAGAGTTCTTGACTGCCCAACACTCCACCCCATACAACATAGTCGGTCGAACCACCACTCTGTAGAACTTACCTTTAACTCTTGGAGGCACATTCTTATCAAAAAAGACCCCGGATACAAGCCTCCACTTCACCCGCCCCGCCCAATACGATGTGTGACAATCATCGTCAATCTCCCAATTACCTTGGATTATAAACCTAAGATACTTAAAACTTCCTCTTTTGGAGATGACTTGTGTATCAAACCTCACTTCCATGTCATCCTCATGAGTTATGTCACTGAACTTGCACTCCAAGTATTCCGTTTTAGTCCTGCTCAACCGGAAACCTTTAGACTCTAGGGTTTATCTCCAAACCTCTAGCATATGGTTAACACCGCATCGCATCTCTTCAATAAGTACTACATCATTTGAAAATAGCATGCACCATAGCACCTCCCCTTAAATGTGACACGTCAATTAATCAATCACCAGAGCAAATAAAAACGGGCTGAGAGTTGATCCATGATGCAACTCCATCACCACTAGGAAGTGTCTCGAGTCTCCTCTTACTGTCCTTACCCGTGTCTTGGCTCCAACATACATGTCCCCTAGTGTATGCGACATGCACACCTCTAGCCTCCAAACATCTCCACAGAACCTCCCTTGGGACTTTGTTGTATGCTTTTTCCAAGTCGATGAACACCATATGTAAGTCCCTCTTCCTCCCTATAATGCTCCACCAATCTCCTTACAATGTGAATGGCTTCTATAGTCGAACGCCCCGACTTGAATCCGAACTGATTCTCGGGAATAGACACACCCCTTCTCACCTCATCTCCACCACCCTCTCCCAAACTTTCATAGTGTGGCTTAGCAGCTTGATAGCCTTATAGTTGTAGCAATTTCGGATATCACCCTTGTTCTTGTACAACTGATTCGTTGTACTTGTTCTTGTACAACGGAATTGTTGTACTCCACCTCCATTCCTCAGGCATTTTTGCCACCCTGAAAATGACATTTAAATAATGCAGTAAGTCACTCCAAGCCTACCCAGCCTGTACTCTTCTAAAATTCCATGGGGACTCGTCTGGTCCGATCGCTTTTCCCTGCTTGTCTGGTTCTGCCCCGAACCTGTTGCTGTCTGCAGACGCGAACACACACGTGCAGAGAGAGAAAGGGAGAAAGAGAGAGGGGGAAAAGGAGAGGAGACAAGCAGCGTAGAAGACTGGTCATGTCGCCGACCAGAAAAGGAAAGAAGAAAAGAGGAAAGAGAGAGAAAGAAGGAGAGAAAAAGAGAAGGAAGAGAAAGAGAATAGAAGAAGAGAGGAACAGAAGAGACCTTATTTGTACCCAGTTACCATTGACGGAGAAGAAGAAGAGTGGAAATGATAGCTGTTACGGTTGTGAGAGTCTACAATACGCAACCAAAGTTCAAATACTCGGGGGTCAAACAGTCAAATACTAGTTTTGTTTCATTCCCTAGGCCTTCACTCTTTGTTACTTAAACCTTTTGTTTGCAGCTTAATAATATTATGCCAAATACTTGAATTGACACAGATAACCCAAGTTACAGATAATTTAGTTGGGGATGTGGAAAAAAATAAATAATAAAAAAGAAAAAAGGCCGAGGATGCGAAACTTTCGAGCAGTAATGAGGCCTGATATTTGTTTCAAAAGGTACAAATTAAACTTTCAAGAGATAAGTTGTTTTACAGTGCAAGTGCCAATACAAAGGAGATCATACCTTGCTGAGAGAGCTGGTGTGACACTCTTATTCTGCTGACCCAGAGACTGTAAGCAAGAGATAAACACAACAAAAGGAACTTCTAAAACAAGCACAAGCAAGTTTTGAATTTGAAGACTTACATTAAAGCAATGAAGAATATACTTGAAAGAATTTATGTACCTCAAATACACATATCTGGGCTACATTATCCCGAAGCCCAAACTTTTTAAATTCAATAAATTCTTCATGCACCAACTTGAATCTAACATAAAACATTTCAACATATTTCCAATTAGGTAATATCATGAACTAGTAATCAAGATTTCACAACAAGTACTGTATTGCCAAAAAACAATAAAGGCTAAATATTAAGATGATAAAGCAAATCAATGAATAGTGCTGTGAAAGTAACACTTAATATCCTGAATGCCGAATCTCTAAACATGCACTCGGCTAATATTTACCAAACAGTCTAAACAATACTACTACCAACATGCTTAAATGACTTTGGAGCATATCAAGCAAGTTTCCAACTCAACTGGAGTAGAGAATCCAGACACAGACATGTGTGGTGACAAACATACTATGGAATTGGCAATGACATGATATGAGAGTGGATTCTACGATACCAATGTTTACATAAAACAGACACAAAAAAGAATTTAAAAAAATTGTTTCCTCATTCATAATTAAGTCTAATAACAGCATCACCTATTTAAACTATCCTTCGGATTTGAGGCTGCAAAAGAATAGAATTTCCTTACCTTGACGCTTTCCAAAATATTGCACATCCATCAGCTGGATCTCCAGTGCGCCTCTACATCAAACATATTCCACATTGCATTTGAAAGTATTATTATAGACTAAACAAACTATGCATTTGTTCTTGTAGTTCAAGAGTAATAAGGTTCTCAGTGCTAGTTGCGAGTAAAAGTATACATGCAAGTATCAGATATGGAAAATTTAAATGGTTGCCTATTCCTGAACTCATTTTGATTCTTGCAAGACAAAGTCTAGATTACTTATTAGGAGGTGGTAGAGATGAAGGATTTTACATAATAAAGTTGGGCTTTAGGTGAAAATAAATGAGTCCTAGGGTTTATGGGTAAGGAGGCTTCCTGCTATCAATGGAGGAGCTGAAGAAATGAGGGTAAAAAAGCCAATTTAATGTTGGCCGCTTATCTGAGTAAGAAGACAATGACTCCTACTGTTGGTAAGCAATCTCCTCTACATGTTATCTTTGGGCGTTTTACTCTCTTTCAAAGAGATGACTATGCAAACCTCAAAGTATTACGGATGCACGTGCTTTCTTAAAATTCGATCCACTCCACAAGACAAATTGAGCCCTACGTATCACTCTATGTGTTTTCTGGTTTGCGTACCCTTTTCTCAAAAGGGCTACAAGTGTTAATGATCCTTCTAGATTTATACTTTACCTTATCAAAGAAAAGATGATCCTTCTACAAGACGATTCTACATTTCTCGACATGTCAACTTTCCGAACATGTGTCTTACTATGGAGCTCAGGACTTTGAGTTTCCGCATGAAAACTGGGGAAAGGAGAGTTTTTAACGTGTACGGATGGAAAGAAAAATGCGAGAGGAGTCCTCTTTAAATCCAAGGTTTTAGAATTGATCAAAGAAATGATCTAATTGTTCCAATTTAGCGAATTAACAGATGAAATTATACACCCCTCCTTGCTTTGAAGAATGTAGAGGATAATATTCATGCATTAATAATCTATCGTGATCTTAGTAATCAGGCGGTAGCATATTGACAAATGTCATTATTGTTACGCTAACCACCGGGTCGTGAGGCTTTCCAAGGGAATGTTTTTCACCCATCTCTTAGAAAGAGCGGCTAGACAGATATACAAATATTGAAGCATCACAAAGATGATAGATACTCTTCCAGCTCATACACTAACCTTGCCAAACTTAGAATGTAGTAAGTGAGGTAAGGAGTATACGATTAATGCCTTGGATCTATCGAGTGATGGTTTGGAACTATATTTATTTTTGCACCTGTACCACCACAACTCTCAGCAAACCAACGGAGGCATGACCTTATTAATATATGAAGCCATATTAAGGACCTTGTGGTTCCACCAACCAAGAAGTAGCATTCAACAATTGGTGTTCCCAAACCAGTGAGCAAACACAGAGCAAAATAGATGCTCAACATATTCGAAGCTTGCGTTAACAATAGAATCAGTAGATCAATAACATTTAGGGGAAAGAGAATGACCAAAACTACATATCAAAGACGAGAAAGGAAGCCTTGTGTACCCCTCACGGGAAAAAGGGCGATGATGGAGGAAATGAGTGCAGTTAAGAAGAATGAAACATGGGAGATTATTGATTTACCTCCCGGAAAGAAGACTGAGAGCTACATGTAAACGGGTATAGACAGTGAGATTACATCCACTGAGATACAAGTGGCAAGTGGATTTACACAAACCAAGGAATAGACTATGGCAAAGGAACCTTCATCCAAGATGTTTACTAAATTTATTATTGGGTCCTCATTTTGACTTTAATAACTTTATACCTAGTATTACTCGGTAGGAATAATTTCTCATCGGAACAATTTTTTGCATCCAAATATTTTTAAAGAGCCTAATGAACTTTCCAGCGAATATTAATGAATTATATATATGCCGTATTTGAAGGTTCAAATTCCCATATTTACATTGCACTTCATAACAAAATGTTGATTTCTGATGCATAATTGCATATCATAATGTACGAAACTTGGGAGATTATAGATATATTGCTCTTAGGATAGGGTTGGAACCTCCCTCTGGCACTTGCTCCACAACATATTAATCAACAGTAAGTTCACTAACAAATTAATTGTAAAAATATTTATCAAGTGTAGAATAGCACGAAAGCATAATAAACCTTCCAGATGCCATTATATCCACGCAACTTCAATTCTGCCTCCAACTCTTGGAATCTGTCAACCTCCTGGAAGGAGGAAACATCACAAGCCATACCAAGGATTGTTACTTCCAGAAGTGAATACAAGTAGAACAATGAAACAAAGACGTAGAAGTTAAAGGGTCGAACATATTGGAAACTTACATTCTTTTTCTTTTTTTTGGGTTTGGGGGGGGGGGGGGTGGTTGGAAAGATTATGGAAGAGACGGGGAAAAGATTGATTATATTAAGCTTTGCAAGGAAAAGAAAATGCATACATAGACACACACATGATATGTAAGACTCAAATGTAAGACAAGTTTCTACGTGTTCTCATGGGCGGCTCAACGAATTTGGTAGCCTAAAGCCAAATAGTATTAAAAGGCCCTTAAATTTTCATAAAATTCATACGATAATGAGACAAAAAAGAAACCCGCATGATTTTAGTTTAGTGGTAAGAGCGCATTTATTTAAGTAGAAAATGGTAGAGGGGTGGGCTCATTATCCATCGAGTTCGAATCTTGCGCCACTGTCCTCGAGAATTTCTTAATTTAAAAATTCGAGACACAAAAGAACTTGCGTTCTGATGTATGCATAAATATATGACAAAAACAAATAGCTAACTCAGAGAATCTGCGTTGAAATTAGAGAGTGAAATCGTCAAAAACATG